TATTTGTCTTTCTCTGACTGACTTATTTCACTTAGCATAATGTTCTCTAATTCCATCCATATTGTTGCAAATGGTACTATTTCCTTCTTCTTTATAGCAGAGTAATACTCCATTGTGTAAATGTGCCAAAGTTTCTTAATCCACTCATCTACCGATGGGCATTTCGGTTGTTTCCAAGTCTTAGCTATTGTGAATAAGCGCCGCAATGAACATAGGGGTGCATATATTTTTTCGAATTAATGTCTTGTTTTTTTGTGGATAAATACCTAAGAGTGGAATTGCTGGGTCGTAAGGTAGTTCCATTTCCAGTTTTTTGAGATACCTCTATACTGACTTCCATAGTGGCTGCATCAGTCTGCAGTCCCACCAACAGTGCACCAGGGTCAGATTGACCTTTTCATAGAGGACTCATTTTTTAGTATAAATTCCTAGAAATGGAATTGTTGAATTAAAGGATTAACCTCTAATTTCTACTACTATCCAAGTGGATGAGAGTGCCAATTTCTTTGAATGTCAGCACAGAAATATTTCCTTTAAAAAAAAAGGTGCCAATTTGGTAGAAGACTAAAATATTTGTTGTTTTACTTTTATGTTTGATTATTAGTAAGAAGCTGAACATTTTATTGTTTATCAGATATTTATATTTTACTGATGAATTAATAACAACCCTTTCATTTCTCTTTTGTATCAGACAATAACCTTTTATTATTAATTTGAAGTCAATACAAGAATATTTACCATTAAACAGTCTTCTTTCTTCCCAACTACTACCCCCACCAAAAAAAATATATATATATATATATATATTAAGTTATGGATATATAACTAAGTTTTCATTGCAATATCCCTGGCTCTGCAAATTTTCAAGTTCTCTGTCTTGCTTAGTCTAGGGTCTAGCTAATGCAATGCGATTTGGTCAATTACGAATCCTATTCCCCTTGTCCTCACAAAGAAAAAGGAATAACAGGAAACTGAGGTTTAGAGCAATTGTACATGTGATCCCACAGACTGTGAGTCCAACTTTCACTAGAGGTCATCAAACTTAGCCATTCCTCCCTGTCTCTGCAAAAACACTCAGGAGAATTCAATGAGAAGCAATTTCTCCTTTTCATGAGGCAAATTAGAGTTACTGCAAAACATCATTAACTTGTGCCACAAGCAAAACATATGACATTTATCACAAAAGCCAAACATACAGAAAAGACTACCAACAGCCACCAGTCATTCACTAACCACAACTGGAGAACTACTATCATGAGGAATTTTATTAAAGATGATTTAGACAATGAGAAAGTCAAATACCACATGATCTCACAGTTATGTGGAATCTAAACTACAAAATAAATGAACAAAACAGAAATAGACCCATAGATACAGGGAACAAACTGATGGTTACTAGATGGGAGGGAGCTGGGGGTAGGGTGAGAAAGGTGTAGGGATTAAGAAGTACAAATTGGTAGTTACAAAAGTGTCTTAGGGATGAAAAGTACAGTATGGGGAATACAGTCAATAATATTGTAAAAACTATGTATAGTGTCAAATGGAGGTATTAGATTTACTGAAGAGATCACTTCATAAATTATATAAATGTCTAACCACTATACTGTACATCTGACACTAATATAAAATAATATTGAATGTCAACTACAATTAAAAAAAGTCATGGGGATATACAGTATAGCATAAGGAACATTAATAATATTATAATAACTATGTACAGTGTCAGATGTGTAATAGAGTTATTGGGGTTATTAATTTGTGAGGTATATAAATGTCTGATCACTATGTTGATATGTTCACCTGAAACTAATAAAAAACAAATTAATTTGAAAAAGGAAAAAAAATTACACATAAAAAAAGAAGAAGAATGATTCCATCAACATAAAGTCCCTGACGTATGACTTGTCTCTCTGTTTACTGGTAATCAGTCTGTGATAAAAATGCTTTCGGTATGTGCCACTAGAACTATTTTTTTCAGAATGCAAATAATCATCTCTAAGATTACCGTTGTTATGTTTTACCACATTCAGTAAATCAGGTTTAAATCAGGGGTGGTAGTCAACTCTATATCACATACATAAACTTGGGTTGTTGAACTAGATAGATAGTGTGAATGGTATTATTTATAGGGTTTTTAAGGCTTTCAAGCATGTCTTGGAAACCCTGGAAATTGTATCAGGTTCTATTTTCACAAAAAGTTATTAGCTCTGATGCAACAAAACTATTTTTGGCTGGTAAAAAGAAAATAGCTTTAAGTACTAATAAAATATAGCTTCACGGTAACCATCGGCTTCTGCTCCATCTGTGTTTTGAAGATAAGAAATCATCAAAAATGTCATTAACATCTGGTTACTTTATTGGAGGAAAGGGAAGGTCCCCTGAAGGCAATACCAACAACAGATAACAAATACAGAAAAAATAGACAATGATTTCAGATCATTCTGTTTTCAAAAACACTGGCCTCAAAAACAAAGCAAAGCAAAACAAAACAAAAAAAATGGGTTCAAAATGAACATTTCTGAGACATTAAAACAAATCTGAAGTCCTACGTAAAACACTACAATGTACTTGAGTTTGTATCTGTTTGAAGTTTTAATTGTTATGTAAGTTTGGATTTGTAAATGCATGATCTCTAAAAGAAGGCAATGTACAGTTCGTAAAAGCTGTGTGCTGCAAAGGAATTGTCAGACAGGAAGAGATGGCCCTCTTCCAGTTTGAGGCTAATGAATCCCTCTACCTGTGTTTCTAGATTCTTCTCAGAAACCTTACTTCATTCATTATTCCCTTCTCTCACACATCTTTCATTTCTCATATCCCTCACAGTATGAAAGCCCTCATCTCTTATAGCTAACAAACTCCGTTTTGTGCACCTCCCTCTGGCCATCAATCAACACATCTGGCTCCTCTTCACAGCCAAGCTCCATGCTTCTTGTCTCCCTTTCCTCACCATTCATTCACTCATTCATTCACTCAGTCATTCATTTTTGTCTTCAAAGCAGATAACTGCCAGTCCTTTTTGTGTATGTTCTCATTCATTTGGTGATTTGTATACCTTCTCCTTCAGCCCTCTGCCATCTGGCTTCCTCCAACATCACGTCACTGAAACATCTCTTGTGCTGGTCACCAAAGATGTTCGTTTTTCTAGGGCAAGTTTTACTACTACAGGTGACTTCATTATAATTGAATTCCTCTAGTTAAATGCAGGTAAACTGGATTCTAGTACAATCATCAGATTACCTTTTCTAGCTCATCCTAAGAAGACATATCTCTTGAATGCTTACCTTAAAATTAATTTGCATCATTGAAAGAAGGTGAACCAGTGAATCGCACATGTCTGTAGTGATGAGAGAATTCATCTCTGGTATATTGAGGCACTGTAATGTTTTATATTTTTCTGGAGACATGCCCACTTTTGAACCTAAAACATCAGCAATGGCTACAGGCAAAGGAAAAAGTTTAAAATAGTAAAATTACAGCTTATGAAAAAAATAATAAAATTACAACTTAATCACATTTTAAAATAAGAATTTACTAAATGAGAAGAAATTCAAAACATTCACAATTTATCATAGTATCTTTAAGAGGCTGAATAATTTTGTTGGTTAACTGCATGGAATAAATTGTGAGAAAACCAAAGAATTTATTTCTAAAAACCTAGTATTTACAAACTGCAAAAGACGTATAGAAAGGGGTAGAAGATGGGAAGAAACAAAATTTGGAGTTAAAACCCTGACTTCATCGAGGGCTGGCCGAGTGGCTCAGTTGGTTAAGAGCTCACTCAAGAGTATGAGCTCTGAACAACAGCGGTTCGATGCCTGGCCAGAGTTGAGCTGCTGCTGAGCTGCCAACAGGTGGCAGGATGGCTCAGCTAATAACAAACAAACAAACAAACAAACAAAAACTCCCTGACTTCGTCACTTCATATCTTAGTGTTTGACATTATGTGACCATAGTTGAGAAGACATAGAAAGTACTGTGCAGAATAGCACAATACAATCTAGATAAACTACAGTTACATATCCAGAAATCATTTAGGAACAAAAATGAAAACTATTCTCTAAGATAAATGATGGTTATCATCAAATAATGCAGTTACACAACTACACACTAGTCATCTTTCAAAGTTTACTGAAATACTAATGAGGCATGGGTATTTGCTCTATAAACATTTTATAGATATAAAGGCTACCATAAACACACTTATCAAATGTTTCCATTAAGTTTAGCCTTTCAGAGTTTAAATGCATCAGGCTCGATCAAATTTTCCTTCAACTTCAAAGGTAATACTGAACCATTTCAGGAAATAAATATCAAGCACAAGAATAGAGACTGAAAGGGCTTTATGCAAAAAGAAGCTGATCTTTATAATATATTAATGTAAATTAGATACAGCTAACACCCACCTAGGAAGACTTTCTCTTTTCCAATAGAATAAGTGCCACAGACAACAAGAGTCCGTGGGTTTAGAGTTACAGCCTCAAAGGCAGTGTTGATGGCAAACTGGATAACCTCTTGCTGAGACGGAAAGGAGTACTCTGGGCTGCAGTATCTATGATATGGAAATATGGTACTTAGTAAAAGAGCAACGAGAAAGCCATTGCATGAAATCGGATGCTATTTTAGCAAATTTACATTTGACAACAGTATAATATATTAACACCACTGCAAGTTTTTTCACTGCCTGTGGTTAAAATATTTGTTACCAAGTAATGATAATTTATGATGGAGCTATGCATTTTCAGTATACTTTTTTCATTGTGTTTTATCATCTTCGAATAACAAAATTGCCTTTTTTTTCTTCAAGAATATTTCTAGCCAGCCTGCTATTTAAAGATCTGAATTATAAAGCTCAAGATCTCATTTTTAAAACGCCTATCACTATCAAAGAAAATACTGCTGTTAAGGATTATCTTTGGACTAAAGAATTCTAATGTAGTAAAAAAATAATTATTAAAATAATGAAATGAAATATGAATTTAATGAAGTAGTTTCAAATCAAACACTTAATACTTAATGGTTGTTCTTAGGAGATACAGAAATATATAGAGCATTATAGGAATATAACAAATCCATTGAGCCTACCTTCAAAACAATAACATCCAACAAAAAACTAACCCTAAGACTACTATCTATATATATATTGAGATAAAAACTAAGTGCTTTTTCACTAAGAAAGTCAAAGCACAAACACCAAATAAACATTTTTCCCAATTTTCACAATTGTTTCTGCTGGACAGCAATCAGAATAGAGAAAAAACAAAAACAAAAACATAAAAACAAAACTTAGTTCTTTCTCCAATAAAAACCCACAAAGAAATTCAGGATTACACGTAGACTAGTACTAAGTAACAAGGAAAGGTTTTTCTTTTTCTTTTCTTAATTTTTTTAGTATTTAACATATACATAAAGGAATGGAAAAATTAGTGTTAGAAAATTGGATGTGGAAAGACCATCTTTTACCAAAATATGCCATACAAACTCACTTCTCCTTAAAACAGGTTGAAATAGGTAACATAATTAATTTCTAACAAATTGCTGAGGTATTTTAATATATAATAAAAAGATAATGGCTTATGCCATTATGTTTGTAGCACTGAGGAATCCAAAGTTGTCACTTATGAATTATCTTTTTGAAAAAAGAACAAATTCTGAATACTCAGAAACAGAACTGTATTTTGACCTCACTTTTCACAATTATACTTAATAGTTACAGATACTCTGAAAGGATAATCTAAAAGGGTGTTTTCCTAAAATTTGCCCCCAATTTTTCTTCCATGTTTCAGTAATAGGATTCTCACATAAACCATAGTTTCTAAAGGAAACTTCAAAAACATTGAGCTGTAGTCCGTTAAGACATGTAATCCCAAATTGGTCCTTCAGCAAATGTGTTTTTTTCAAACAGCATCCCTTTGATAAATAGACTTAAAATGATCATTGACAAAAAAGGCATCATTTTGATTACCTAAGCGAATGTTCAAATGATTCATAATATACAGTGCATACTCTCTGTGGGGAAAGGACACAGGCCAACAAAGCCTGTCTTACGTGGTATCGAGGTAAAGTGTGTGGATTCTCTGGCCAGCAAGAAGAGAACGTTCCATGCTGGGATCTGCTCGGAAGTCTCCGGTGTGTAACACGACATTACCATCACGAAGATAAAAAAGGATCATGACGGCACCTGGACAGCTGCGCAAAAACATTTCCAAAGAAATAGTCTTAACATAGGCAAAGCAACTAAGGGAAGACTGCTTATTTCAATATCAAGTTAACACGCTGTATTAGATGATTGCAATGACAAAGCATTGTACTAAAGAGAAAATGTAGCACTTGCATCAGGGAAATTTACATCATTAAAAAAAAAAAATTGGTGTGCCGGAAAGGATTACTTTAGCAGGCCTAGGGTGCTCAAAAGCCACATATTCCCAAGAAAGGTCTGTCTTTAGGACTAGCCCTTGGGTGATGAGTTCTGAGCCCCTGAAATACTCTGCTGAGAAAAGTGCATTTTGTATGCCTGAGGCACTGCACTGGGCCCTGTGTTACACGTGTGATCAGTTTAGGCTAACAATGTGATGTGTGGTGAATGCCTGGTTTTGCTCTAGGGGACTGGAGTCTGAGTAGCTGAATGTTGCATACCGACATGACTGACCCTCAATAAAAACCCAGGACCACGAGGCTCCCATGCACTCCCCTGGTTGGCAACACTTCACACGTGCTGTTCCCATACACATTGTCGCTGGGAGAATAAAGCACACCTGTGCTACTCCCCTAGACGAGGACACCTGGAAACTTGCTCCTGGTTTCTCCTGGGGTCACCCCATTGGCCTTTTCCCTTTGCTGATTTTAATCTGTATTTCTTCCCTGGGACAAGCTGTAACCAGAAGTTTAACAGCTTTGCTGGGTCCTGTGAGTCCTTCTCATGAATCACTCAGCCTGAAGGTGGTCTCGGGGATCCCTGACACAAAGGGGTGTGAAAATTACTGCCAAAACGCAAGGAACTTTCATTTTGAATTCTAAAACACAGGCAATAATTACATGTGTAATTAAAACCTTCCCCTTACCTCGCTGCCCCAAAACTTCAGACCCCAATGATTTTAACAGGGAATGCTGTCAAACACTTCAGGGCAAAAATAATACTAAATACTACACAACCATCTTCTAGAATAGAGAGGAGGGGGGAATATGTAATGAAGCCAGCATTACCCTGATATCAAAACCAGGCAAAAGCATTATGAAAAAACTACAGACCAATATCCATCATGAAAACAGACATAAAATTCTTTCACAAAATATTAGCATATCAAATCCAGCAACATATTTTTTAAAAGAGGTAATACATGAAGACCAAGTGGTTTATCCCAACAATGGAGGCTGCCTTAACATTCAAAAAGCCATGTTATTGTAATTTACCACCTTAACATTATAAAGGAGAAAAATTAGATGATCATCTTCTCAATAGATTCCAAATAAGCATGTGACCAAATTCAACACCCACTCATGATTATGATCTCTCAGCAGACTGGGAATAGGGGGGAACTTTCTCAATCCATTAAAAGGCATCTGTGAAAAACCTACTGCTAACATCGTGCTTAATGGAGAAAGACTGAAAGCTTTTCCCCCCATAAGCTCACGAACATGGCAGCTTGTCTCCTCTTACCACTCCTAGTCAACATTATACTGAGGGTCTGAGCCAGCACAATAAACAAAAGAAAAAAGCACTCTACATGGAAAGTATGAAATAAAACAGTGAAGGAAGTAAAATTGTGTTTATTCACAGATGACATGATCACATAGGTAGAAAATTTTCAAGAATCTACCAAAAACCTACCACAACTATTGAGTAAGTTTATCCAGATCTCTGGATACAAAGTCAATAAACAAAATTCGGTTGTTCATCAAGAGGTGAATGGATAAATAAATTGTACTGTGTCCATACAAAAGACCCTACTCAGTAATAAAAAGGAACAAACTGATACACACAATTACATCAACAAATCACAAAACCATGATGAGTGACAGAAACCGGACGTAAAGTAGATCCTGTATGATTTCATTTATTAATAGATGAATCCCTAGGAAAGACAAATCTAATCCATAGTGATAGGAAACAGATCAATGGTCTCCTGGGCCAGAGGTGGGGGTTGGGGGTTGTCTGGAAAAAGCACAAGGCACAGTTTGGTGCGGGGAAAATTTTCTATGTTTCTATTGTGGTAGGAATTACACAGGTATGCACTTTTGTCAAAATTCAGCAAACACCTAAAAATGGGTCTATTTTATTTATGTAAATTATACCTCAATAAAGGTGACTAAAAAAAAAATCAGAATCTGAGTTGTAATTGGTGATTTAAAAAGAAACAGCAGTAAAGTAAGGAAAAATGTAAAGGAAGAGCACAGGCCTGGATGTTATGAGACCTAGATTTAGTCTTAATTTTAATTCTATAAGCATTTATGATCTCTAAGATACAGGAGGCTAACACTCTGTGAAAAGTAGAAAGAAGCATAGCTGATAGTTGCATTTTGGCAACGTGAATTCTGATAGCACTTTATATTTTTTAAAAATAAGGGAAAAAGGGAAACCATTTCCAAGAAAAAAAACAAAAAAACAGGAGAAACTTCCAAGTCTTTAGTATCAAAAGCCTGAAGGATTTCTTAAAGGGAAAAAGAAAACCCTCTAGAATCTGAATGGAATACAGCTGTTCATTGATATAAGTGACAGCATAGAAAATGACAAAAGGTTCTCTCTTAAAGAATGGCAGCAACATGCTAAAATGTTTTTTAAAAAATAAGTTGGAGGGCCAGCCGAGTGGCTCAGTTGGTTAAGAGCTCACTCAAGAGTGTGAGCTCTGAGCAACAGGGTTGCCGGTTCGATTCCCGGCCCGAGCTGAGCTGCCACTGAGCTGCCAACAGGTGGCAGGATGGCTCAGCTGAAAAAATAAAAATAAAATAAGCAGGAGTCTCATATGTCAAGTATTTAACCTGGATAAAAAAGTGGACTAGACAACATTTAAAGGATCACTCTACATTTAATATCTGATTTATGTTTTACTAGTTTTAAGAAATATCAAGCATATTTGTTCCAATAAAAGAGTTCTTATTTAACCATGCCAATGGCTTTTTCTTTTGACTATTTTTTTAAAAGGCTATTATTAAGGTAACTTGAATACTTACTGATTGGCATCGAGCAAAACAACTTTGACACCATTCACCACACATTCAGTGTCTACTGGCAATGGATGGATATACTGTTCTTGCACATGAAGTTTCCTCTTCAACAAATTGCCAGTTATCTGCAAAACAGGATGTGCTTACTGCTGATCCAGTACAACACTACATAAGTATTTTATTTCATACCTGGTTTAGAACCCAAGCATCTTAATAATCTTCCTGTTCTCCCAATTATATTCAATGTAAACTCTCTAGAATGCCAGGAAGAACTTCTCAAAATGACTGTGTCACGACTCTGCTTTGTCACTGACTCTCCCTCACCTGTGAAAAGTCCATCCTTAGCATGACACATAAATGTTTCATGATCTGGCCCCTGCCCATTTCTGTAGGTTTATCTCCTGCTATTTACTATCTCATGTTTAGCCATTCTGAAATACATGAAGTAACTGGAATGGGTCTATTCCTCATGTGTCTGTGCTCTTCAAACTCACTCTAGTCTCTACCTGGAAGGCCCTCTCCTCTTTCCTCTGCCTGGTTCTGGAATCAGACAGACCTGTGTTCAAATTCTGACTCTGCCATTACTCGCTCTGTGACTTGGGACATGTCACGTAACCTCTCCAAGCCTCAGTTGTTTCATTAATAAAAAAAATTTAAAAAAAGGAGAATTCAAAAATGCTGTGACGATTAAATCAAATTCTAGCCAAAGCCCCTAGTAGTGGGCATTCAAATGCTCACCTTTTAATAATTAGTTCAAGCTGTTTCTTTCATCATGAATCTTTTTCTAACGTTAGCCTGGGACAGAGGAAAGCACTCCTTTCTCCCTACTTCTATGCACTCTGTTTACTTAACTATTACAATACTGATCCCTTCCTGGTATTATTTGTGAACGGGTCCCCCGAAAACTGTAAGCTCCTTGAAGTTATTTTGCCTTAAATATTTTTTAGGCACTCAATAAATGTTTATTACATGAAACAGGTTTTTTAGTACATCGTGAAGTAGTTTATCTATGATTGTTTCTATATAATAAAGCATAAACAAAACTATTTTAACTGTTGACAATAACTCATTCAATTTTAGAATCTCAATGTGGAATCTATTTTCTCGGGTCTCGTCTAGAATTATAAGTAGCTCTTACAATTTTAATTATTCTTTTTTACTTCAAATTGCTTACAAATGTGCTGCATTCTATAAATTCAGAATTTAGGATACTAAAACTTACCTCACTACAATAAACTGGAAATGTGAAGTTTTTAGACAACCCAGCATAATGATCAGAATGAAAATGTGTGAGGAAATAGGCCGTACAACCTTCAACCGATCCATACTGAAAGGCATCGACTGTAAAGCCAGTTCCTGCCATGAAAATACCAACACAGCTGCTTGAGCAATAGCCAACAAAGGAAGAAAACATCCCATTTGATTATAAATTGCCAAACCCTCTAACAACTTTACATCTCACTTTTAACTTTATAACTTAATTTAAAACTTACACCACATTAATTCAGCAAAAGGTGATACTAGAGATGAAAATGAGTCTTATAAATTTCCACTAAATATCCCAGTATGGGCTTTTTAAATGAATAACTATATATAAATATATATATAAATATATATATATATAAATATATATATATATATATATATATATATATATATATATATATATATATATATATATATATATAAAATCAAAGTACTAAGCTAAAAAGCAATCACTTATTTGTTTTATTTTGAATATTGTTTCTTTGAATATTTTCAAGGTACTTACTGGGAACCTAAATTTCTTTACTTCTGCAAAACAGCAAAAATGTTAACTTTCTTCTAAAATAATTCACAACAGGGTGATAGTGATATGCTTCTAAGGGGGCAAAGATGATTGAAGGCCCCTGTGATATTTTCATGGTTTGTGGCCCTCCAAAGGGCCACAGTACGATAACAGATAAACAGTATATCAGTAGTATTTGAATTTCATTGCAGGGTAAAGGGAAGAGGGAGGGAAACCAGAAAAAAAAAGGCTAAAAAAGTCTCCCTACAGGAGCGTTAATTAAAAAAGAAAAAGGTTGAAGTGTTCTAAAATGTGTTCATGAAAGAACTACCCAAGTGTTCTGACTGTGATATGCAAGTGAATAAGCAAACCTTCACAATTCTATTGAGACTTAGTAACACATGGCATACTAGTTTTAGGCTCATTTAAAATACAGAAAATCAATCAAAATAATTATTAAAACTAGTGCTGTGATGTACTTAAATGCTATTCACTGTATAAATATTTTGAACAAATTATAGCTCTAGAACATCAATAAAGCATTTCAAAACATCTTTCTGAAACCAAGTGTATTTTGGTAGCTTTATTTTCTTTTCAGAAGAAGAGTTTTTGGTTTCTTTCATAATAAAATTAATTTCACTACTTTTTTAAATAACATCTATAAATGCATGAAAAATTATAGGAATATGAAAACGCTGAGAAACTAATTTATGATATGGTTTTAAAATGTTTGGCATTTATGATGACCTGGACAACCTGTAATGTTTTCCTTCTTTGATGCTATTTAGTACTTTGCATTTCTTAAGTGCTTAGAGAGACCTTTTAATAGTTACTTACATAAAGCCTTTTCTCCTTCTATATTAAGCTGATTTTTGCTAGTGTTTGTCCAATCTGTAATTCCTACCTAACTAGTACAATATCTTGTATATAGAATATCTTTAATAAAACTCTACTACAAGGGGCAAAAAAAAAATTAAATACACAATCTACATTACAAGTCAATGAAGTATAAAAAACAAAGGAAACACAAAAAAATTGTCTCATACAAATACACCCAACGTGGGCAACAAACATGAAATTCAAAAAAGTTGTTTGTAGATATATTAAACATTGCTATTTCAGCTTACCAGGTATTTTCTTATAGAACGGACATGTCCTTTTTCTTACTTCTCCTGCATTAGACGACTCTGGGATTTTTGTGGTGCCTCTCTGCCATCGGCCACAAGCTGATTTTGTGAAGACTTTCTCTTTACTTACATTGACTGTTCCAGCTTCTGTCTTGTTAATAAGGTGATTTGACCTCTTCTGTGATCCTTCATGTAGTGAATCAGCCTTTTTAAGTCTCTTTCTTTGATGCTGTGACCTCTTGCTAGAAAGTTCCACAGACTGAGAATTCTCATTTACATTCTTTGCATCAAATTCTAAATCACTTAAAGATTTTTCTGCTTTCCTCTTGCACCGCTGAGACCTCTTTTCATTAGGACTTGCAACTGCACTTAAGTTCATCCCTTCTAATGCACTTTCTCCTATTAATTTCTCTTCTTTTATTTTGGGTGGTAGACCAAAATACACACCTATATCCATTTGCTTCATTACCTTGGTAGAAGGGTGTATTGCATTACACTTGGGAGCAGATGGTAATATTTTCAAAGACTTAGCAGCAGTAGGTGTACTAGAAAATTTCCCTGTATTTAAATTTGTAACTTTACTGTCTACCATATCATCTGACGCCTTTCTGCAGAAACATGCTGAGTTAGTATGGTTCTTAGCACTGAAGTTTTTACTTGAAAATTCTCTAATTTTACTTTGGGTTGGATGGAAAGGAAGACACCCACCTCCCTGGTTTTCAAAAGGTTTTGACATTGCACTCTTAAGTAACGGAAGAGAAATTTGATTGTGAACAGCTGATTCCTCAATTACTTGCTTCTGTTTGTTTGATTGAGATGAGTAAAATTCTGGCTCATCAGGTTTTCCTTTAGGAGCCCGATAACTAGAAGAAGCAAGTCCCCCGACTAACGCAGGAGGAAACAGCAAAAAATCATCATCAGTATATGCTGGATCATGACACAAAATAACATTCTCATTTTGGAAAAGAAGTTGAGATGAAACATTTAGAGTTTTGAATTTATACAATTCTTCATTGTATTTATCTTGAGTTAAGCAGCTATTCATTTTGGGGCAGCTCTCCTGGTGTGTCTGTAAGGGACCATGGCATTTTGTAAACAAAGTACAGCTGTTGTCATCTTCTAGGCTGCCATCTCGAGAGCTCTCTGTAAAAAATAGTTCCTGTTGTGAATCATCCAGCTTCTCATCTATATTGTAAGTTTCTTCATCACTTTGAAGTGGAGAATAGGAGATTTCACAGTCACTAGAGTCATTTTTTGGCAATGGTAAATTTACGTGTTCTGAGTTGTTTTGGCTGTCTAACTCTTCAGCAAGAGGCAAACCAACTACCAGTTTGTCATTATTAACACATCGAGCAAATTGTGGAGCCTGTTGGGACGTTTGTATATTTGTGGAAGAGGAAATCTTTTTATTGGTTTCAGCTGGAGACTGAGATTTTCTTAGACACTGTGTCACCAGCAAGTGATCAGTTGAAACATTTTTTAAATTCTCAGTTTGTTTCTGATTTGGAGACCATCCTTCCTCAAGGCTACAAGGAAAGCCTGAATTAGTCTCAGTGACACTACCAGCTAACCCATGTGTTAGACTGCTAACAGGACTATTACTAGCCCTGCTTTGAGCCAGCAGGTGGTGAGTATATCTCTTGTAATGAGAAGGAATTGTGGAGTTACACAGACGACCATCAGGACACTCTGGAAATTTTAATAAAAAAAAAGTATTATAGGATCAAAACACAGACTAAGCGCTTGACAGCATTAGCCCTATAAACTAACACATAAGTGGAAAATCATCAGCCCTACTTGAGGCCTTAGGACAATAGCTATCTTTACACAAATCAAAAGCTCAGCATAAAATAACAGCAGTACAGTATAGTTTTGCAAGGTGCTCATTATTTTTAAATCAAATTCTCTTAAATTTCTTTTCAAATAATCTTTTCTCAAAAAATTGTTTAAGACTGACACCTTTTTCCCCCTAAGCAACTCTCACACATATGAGCTTCAAAATCCATGTATGCTCACGTTACATATTTCTTAAATACGTGCTACAAACTGATACTATCAGTTTCACTAGTTCACTTTTGCTCAGACTGGTACATCTCTCACAGAACTAAAGTTCTATCCCAATGTTTATCTTATCAAGCAACAGATTTATGACAATTGTAGCACCAAATTAGATTCCACTACTTAACATTCACACTGTATACCATAATGATAACAATAACAATCTTAATTATAGTTGCCCATACCCTGGATAATGTAGATTCTGTTCTAAGATGTGAAATTTAATTTGATAAACTGGTTAATAATAAGGCTTTAATAATCTGAAAGCCATTCCCCATCATATCATTATGATGGAGAAATATTCTGGAAACCATTTTGGCATATCCCCTTGTATGTTCATTTCCAGGTTTATAAGGGGAAAAAAATGGTGTTACATTAAATTAGAAGGCTTCATTGCTTAAAACTTAACTTAAAACCACCTCCTAAAAGTATTTGTTATAGAACAGAGTTGAATTCAAAATGAATTCATCTGCGATTCTATTCAAAGGAGTTTAGTAAGGAAAAGAAAAATCTCTTTGAGGTAGCTTTATCTATAAGATATTTGACCCTGAGGCGGTCACCATATGGGACTTCAACTTCCACTTCTGATTTTCAAGCCAGTTAAAACCAAATTACTAGCATTTGATGAGGCTATCACTTGCTATACTTTTATAAGAAAGGCTAATGCCAAATTTTAAAAAGTTATTTTCGCATCTTCATAAAGAACTTTAAAATGATAACTAGAGGTTAATAATGAAATGTCTTCTGTGTCATATTTAACATGAAAGCCATATTATACTGACTATTATTTTTATTTTATTGAATTTTAATTCTTAAGAGAATTAAAAATCTATGTATGGGATAGAAAACTTTAAAATATACAAATCATCATAAACCATTCTCCATATACTTCAAGTTGGATTTTCTACATTTGAAACATGACATTCACGATATATTTTAAAAGACAAAAACACAGCATTACTTCAGTTACCAATTGGCACATTTTTATTATTAGAATCTTAATAACCTAAGACTCCTTCCCAGTTCCTCTTCTTGTACATTAGTATGATGAAACCAACATAACTATATTTAGAAGACTGGACTATGTTCATAATTCTCTAAAAGTCTGTTTCATAAAAGATAACAAAATGGGCAAGTTGTTTAACTTTTAAGAACCCACATCTATAAAATGTCAATACCACCTACCTTGTGCTGTTGTTGTGACAGTCAAGTAAGTAAATAGAGTGAAAGTATCTAGGATAGTATGTGCTCAATTAACCTTTATGAAAACTAATTGAGATGTTTAGGGACTTTCATGAAACAAAATGCATTTAAAGTGTTTTCAAGTTTGCAACATTCTTTACAATTATACCATCAACTGTTCTCTTTTTATCCTTCTTAAAGAGTAAATTCATTACCTTGTTTGCCTCTAGGGTCATTTATACCTAGTGTCTAGTCTCTCTTGGTTTATTGGTTGCCTTGTTTCACTGGACTGATATGTCTGGTCTAATGCAGGTCTATTTAAAGACCACTATCTTTCTTGTAATCTTACCTGTTTCAGAGACTGGTGGAGAATCCAAACACTCAAAAACATGCCAACGAGGTGTTTGACCTAGCAGCGAGGAAAAAGGCATCTGGCAGTTTGGACAGTATCCATCATAAACTGGACGTATCTTTGGAGACACTTGTTTGTTTTTGTGAGTCCTACTGTGCTTTCTTGGAGTCGTCTCCTTGCCTTGGGACTGCTGGGTACCATCTCCACAACTACTCTGACTAGATGCTACAGAAGTCTGACTATCTGTTGCTCCCAGGCACATTTCAGGGTCCTTCGCCTTCTCTTTAGCTTCCACAATTTTTTTATTTCTGTTTCGTTTTGACTGTTTTTTTCCATTTGTTGCTTTTTCAACAGATTTTGGAATATTCTCAGAGCAATTATGTGGATGTACTGGTTTTAGTTTTCTTTTGGATTTGTATTCCCAAATGTCTTCTTCCAAAAGAGTATCTTCTAACATGGCAAAAATGATTTCTATCATTCAAGAAGCACTAATTTTAAATAAACTGAGAGTCTATTTCTTGTTACAAAATTTTTAAATGGAATTATTTTGCTGAGAAAAAAACTAACAAAATTCCCACTAACTTCATGGGAATCTAAAACTCTGGTAATGAATATATTGGCAAACTACAAATCTTATACCTGAGAACACTTGCTGTTTCACTGCTGTTTCATTTATACCACAATAAAATGAAGAAAACGTACCCCAGGGGTAGCATCTCAGAAGTTTTCTATTGTGGCTACTATTTCATTCAGATACCTTGGCCTTTTCCAGGACTTGATTAAAAAAAAAAAGAATCAGTAATAGTCTGAAAATTAAGCACTAATGACAATCTTAGAACAAGCTTTGTAAAATTGTTTTAAAGCTCCTATTAGTTCTTTTTCAACGGGACAATTGTCCAAATAATTCACAAGTCCATGCACAGCCCCTGGGCAACTGGCTAGGCAGGTGTTCCAAACACCTAATGGCTACCTCATTTTGCTAATCAACACTAGTCACTCCATGATCAAAGTGTGTGATTCTCAATAAACGTTAACTGCCCTTCTCCGTGACTCATCGATAGTCAACAACTTCAGTTTCCTGGGTCAGTCCACCATCTTCCTCCAGCAGCAATGAACAAACACTGCACAACAAACAAAATTGAAACATGTGAAGTGGTGCTTGCACTGAGGCCACACTCCTAGCTCCAGACTACAGAGGTGGTCTGCCTGGAGGTGGCCAGCCCTTTCTCCACCAGCCTCAAAGCCAAGGTTCACCTGCCCGACGCCTCGCAAGGACTCTACCTTCTCTGGACGCAGGAGGCTGTGAGGGCAGAGTGGGGCCTTACCCGCTCCAGGGCAGAGGGAGCAAATGAGCTGCTAGCACAGCCCGCTCTACAAAAGCAATCACAGCCTTCCCTTCTGAAGGCAGAAGCCTAGCCCTCAGAGGTCCTCGCCGCCGCCCACCTGCCAGTAGCACCCCCAGGGAGCAGCTCCAGCTGCGTCCGCTCCCCTCAGCGACCCCCCCCACCCACGCTCGGCTAACCGTCTATTCTCGCCCGCACTTTCAGCACTGCAGCGCGACGAAATACTGCATTTGTGTATAAGCCAAAGCCACCGGCCAGTCCCCCCAACTTTAAAAAGCCTGTCCCTTAAGGATATCCCTACTCCTTTACCTTTCTTGACTTGGCGGGAACCGCTTCCCGCTGCCAGTGCTGTGTCGAATCGGCTGGTCCCTAAGAGCCAGCCTTTATAAAGACCGACAAGAAAAAAAAAATCGTGCCCTTTTAAGTCTTACGGATTTATTTTATTTTTTGTTCTAAAACCCACTAATTTTCAACGTGAAAGAGGGGGGGGACAGTTCTCTTAGAGCTTCTAGAACGCTAGCCCAGAAGGCTTTTCGTGTCGAATCTGGCGTTCTGGATGTCCAGGCTCAGCGGCGGCGGGAGGATTTAGGAGGGGCGGGGTGGTTGGGGGGGGCGGTAGTTTAATTCCGTGCCCGGCAAATGCGGCGATTGGTAGTACTTTTCGCACTAGAATGCATGCTTACGAAAGAAAAAAGTGTCGCTAGTGTGGAGCGGGGCTGGTGGAGAGGAAGGTGAAAGTGACGTTTTGAAACCAAAGGACAGTAAACGCTTCTTCTCTTCCCAAACGAGCTTGTCCCGCGGGCCCGGCGGCCGCCTCTCTACGGTCCCGAGAGAACATGGCGGCCCCCGGCCCGCGGAGCTGCAGCCTCTCGGGCCTGCTCCCGGCGCAGACCTCGCTGGAGTACGCCCTGCTCGACGCCGTCACCCAGGAGGAGAAGAAGAACCTGGTCTACCAGTATCTGCAGAAGGTGGACGGCTGGGAGCAGGACTTGTTGGTGCCCGAGTTTCCGGAAGGTGAGGGGCTGGCTTCGGGGTGGGGACCCCTCCCGGAACCTCCCCTTCCTCAGGGACTGCGCCCTCCCCTGAAGCGGGGGGCGAGGCGGGGTTGTGCCGCGGCGCCGGGGCTGGCGCTCTGCCCAACCTCAGCCGCGGCCCGCGGGCTCTGCGATTCCCAGGGGTCCCGACGCGGCGCAGGTGGTGGGATTCTGGAGGGCGGGGACCTGCATCTTCGTCCCTGTCTCCTGAGCCCCGCCCGGGCCTTAGGTTAACGAAGCAGACCTTCCATGGGTGTTTAGTGGCCCCGGGGGGCAATGGTTGACATGTCCATGCCACCCTGGCTGGTTGCCCAGCATCGTCGTCATCTGTCTTCATCATCCTCACTGGCATTGACTGATCACTGCTTCTGTGAAGGGGCATTGATCTTATTTAATCCTCCCTACAACCCCTTCAGGTACTCGTATTAGCCCTGTTTTACAGTTGAGGAAACTGAGGCTCCGGGAGGTGAAGTAATTGGCCCCCCGAGGCCAGCGTTGGATGATAGAGACCCCAGACTGGCCGGTTTCTTCATTGGGCCACACTTCTCCGTTCCAAGTCGTGAACGTTGTAGTTTTAAAACTAGGAATTCATGGTGGCCCATCATCTCCAAGGGTTGAGCCCTGGCCCTGAGTTTTTGGAGCGTGAGGGAACTGATATGCCCAGCAGTGCTATTTTGTGCAGCACATCTTGCTGTGATAAATGAAACCCTGCTTTACCTTCTTTGGTGGGGACTGTCATTGTTTTGCCTGGTGCTGTTGGCATGCCTCCTGGCATGACACTGAAACCACATGTATAGTTAATTGGTTGAATGTGGCCGGGTTCAGTATCTAACGGGAGGTGTATCGGAACCTTACCTCTCACAACAGTCTTGTATGTCTTTCCATGCCTTTTGCTTCCACCTTGAAAAGTGCTTATTTTTCCTGTTACTGATCCTATACTGGATTTGAAATTTGGGGGAATTTCTTACTAAAGAATTGGGTGCATGAGTGCTGATCTCATCAAAGAAACCTTAAAAGATTGTATACACATATGCATATTTTAAAAAAACTTGGTGAGAAGTTATTTATATATATAGTACACTGTTATAAAAGAGCATGCTATCAACTAGGATTTAGGCCGGTGTTTTTATTTTCTAGTCTTGTTTGTGTTTACAGCGAGTGTATTTTATTACCATGAGATTTGACCTCTGTGACTGGTAAATGTTACAAAATATTCAGGCTTTGTATTTGACGTAGGCAAATTTTCTGCTGCACCTAATTATTGAGGACAGAATACTACAGATGAGTTTTTTCTTGGTTTCTTTATCAGTAAACGGTAATCAAGAAGTCATAAACATAACTCTAGCTCAAAAATAGTATGCTTTGTTCATTTCTTAAACACATGTTTATGAGAACAAGCGTGGTATAATGGATGGAGTCAGAGAGACCTGAGATTAAATTCCAATGGTTCCATTTGTTAGCTGCATGATTTTGAGCAAGTTACTACTCCAAGCCTACTTTGCTCGCTTATAAAAAAGGACTGAGTATTTACCTTTCAGGTGTATTACGTGGATTGGAGGTAATATACCTAAAGTTCTTAGTTCATAGGAGAACTCTGTAAATTTTAGCAGCTTTTAAAATTATAGTCACTGTAATTATAATTATTATTTTAAAACTTCTTATTAAGCCTGATAAGCATTAGGTGATGCTTATGAATAACTGATATATAATGATACTTTCCCTACCCCCCATTTAAGTCACTGTTGACTATTTACAGAAAATAAATTTAGAAGAGAGATTCGTAAGTATTTTGCAATTAGGATGTAAAATATGCATTAATTTGAAGTTTTATATGATCACTTGACCTGGTATACAATTAACACTTTATTAAAATGGATAACTAAGAGCTCACTGTATCCTAAAACCTTACTAGGTTGGATTAATTGGCAGAAATACTAGTTTCATTTGCAGACTTTTTTTTTTTTAGAAGTTTGCTATAATTGAGTAACTCCAGTTACTGTTATTAGTCATTAGCTGTTATTATGCACTTGTTCCACCCAACTTCAGGCTTTCAGTTTCTATAAAATATTTCCAGAAACCTGTTTCAATGTATAATTAAATATAGTATGTCAATGTCAATTATAATTTTAAAACAGGTATAATTGTTTTAGTAGTTTCTTTTATTTACTTATAAGCACCAAACTCAGTATCATTCTTTTCTTGAATTGGTTGAAAAAAGATGCTGTACCTTTAATATTAGTTTAACAAAATCTTTCTTCATAGTGCGTAGTTAAAATTGTAAATCATGGTCAAGTTATTATAAATTCTGATTTGCAAAAGTACAGATTAATGAGATTTTCTTTGTAGGGAAGGAAAAACACTCTTCATCAATATTGATGTTGCTTCCATGAACTCTATAATAGTGTATTTTGCTTGACTTTGCATTTAAAATAATTCGTGTTTAAAGTTTCATTCATATCCAAAACATTTTTGCTCTTTGTCTTATGAAATTGGCTTATGCATTTTGTATGTTTATCCTTTTAACACTGTTCTCCTTTTTGTTATGTAGTTGTCTTGGTATTCTTAAGGTTGACCTTCTTTCTCAATAGCCCATTTGTACCTAATTGTACACTTAGACCCTCTTAATATTTGATATTTCCTCTTGTTTTTACCTAAATGTGTTGATCTTACCTCTTTCACACACCATTATATTATTTCTGAAAGAAATTTGGTAGCTATATTTGCAGACTACCTCGCGATAGCCTCTTTCCGATGTTGTTCCCCACACCTCCTACCTGCCCCCATCCTCTCCTTAGAAATAACAGTGGTTCGCATTCTAGTGGCAAGTTTTAGATAAATTGGCTTTTCCTTTAATCATGATAATTTCTTTTGTGTAAATTTCAGGATTAGAATGGCTGAACACTGAAAAGCCTCTTTCTGTCTACAACGACCTGTGTGGGAAAGTGGTCATCTTTGATTTCTTCACCTATTGCTGCATAAATTGTATTCACCTATTGCCTGATCTCCATGCCTTAGAACACACCTACTCTGATAAAGGTATCTGCCCTTTCATTGGTTTTTAACAGACTGTCCTGGCAAAGGCACTGCAAGAGTAGCTGACTCGTTTGCTTATAGGAAACCGAACATTTGATAAGGCTTCAGTAATTCTAAAAGTAATTTCTAACTTGTGAATTAAGGACTCCATATACCTTTTCATGAAGAGTTAAGCTTAGTGATACTGGTTTGCCTTTCAAAAACACTAGCATTTAGTATATGGTTTTTCTTTAAGAGTAAGAATATAATTTACTTTTTTCATGATCAAGTATTTTTAAAAGGTTGCTTTATGTATCTAGACTTACATAAATTTCTTCTATGAAATTGAAATACGTGCATAATTTTATAATCTCACTGTATTATTGTATTAGTCTCTATTTAATTTATTTCTGGTCTGATTTTTATTATTTCCGTCTTCTGACTTTGGGCTTTGTTTGCTGTTCTTTTTCTTGTTTCTTTAGATGTAAGTTTAGATTACTATCTCTTGTTTCTTGAGTTAGGTCTGTATTGCTATCAGCTCCCCTCTTAGTACTGCTTTTTCTGCATCCCAGGTTTTGATAGCTCATATTTTCATTTTCATTTGTATGTATTCTTTTATTTCTCCTTCTATTTTTGTTGTTGTTAACAGAATAGTTGTTCAGTAGCATGTTTAATCTTCACATATTTGTGGTTTTTCCAGATTCTTCTTATAGTTCACTTCCAATTTCATACTGTTGTGGTCAGAAAAGATACTTGATATGATTTTAATGTTCTTAAATTTATTGAGAATTGTTTTGTGTCCCAGTTTATGGTTTATCCTTGAGGAGCTCCATGTGAACCTGAGAAGAATGTGTATTTTGTTGCTTTGGGATGGAAAGTTGATACACACACACACACACAAATCCACATACACACACACACACATACAGATATCTCTACATATATACACATACATATACATATATACACACACATACATATAAATCCACATACATACACACACATACAGATATCTCTACATATATACACATACATATACAAATATACACACATACATATAAATCCACATACACACAGATATCTCTACATATATACACATACATATACATATATACACACATGTTATGTGTATACATATAATATGTATATAATTATATATATTATATAAATTACATAATAGGAACATTAAATAAAGACCTCATATTATGGAAACATCTTATATCGCTCTGTTAATGTGTAATGTAATTAGGTCTGAAAAATGTAAGAGGGTAATGTGACAATAAATACCAACAAAAAACAGTCCTAGTCACTGTGAATTTCAAAGGAGCTTACAAAGGTGGGAAAAAAGTTAATAAAATATCAACATCTCATATAAAAATAGAATGTATTTTTTAATGCTTTGTCTAAATAAAGGACACAAAACGTTTTAACCCTGAAATAGCCACATGATTTTGGCCATATGTGCTTTTATGTAGTTATCAAGATTGTCATGAGATTTAAATGTTAAATTTTTTATTTATGTGTTTAAATGCAGTTGAAGACACTAATTTACTTCTGCCTTTTTTTTTCTTTTTTTTTTTTAAACCGCTAGAGTTTTTATTTATTAATAACCCAACATCTAATGTGTGGATGGTGATATTCAAACTTTAATATTTTATAATACTTAACGTACAATTGTTTTTCACTTAGATGGTCTTCTGATTGTTGGTGTTCACTCGGCTAAATTTCCAAATGAAAAAGTCCTGGATAACATTAAAAGTGCTGTTCTTCGCTACAACATCACCCACCCTGTGGTTAATGATGCGGATGCCAGCCTCTGGCAAGAACTAGAAGTTTCCTGCTGGCCAACTCTGGTCATACTTGGACCCCGTGGAAACATGTTGTTTTCTTTGATTGGAGAGGGCCACAAAGATAAATTGTTTTTGTATATTTCAATAGCTTTAAAGTATTACAAAGATAGAGGACAGATCAGAGATAATAAAATTGGAATAAAACTCTATAAAGACTCTTTGCCACCTTCACCATTGCTGTTTCCTGGCAAAGTAACAGTAGACCATATTTCTAAGAGATTGGTAATAGCAGACACTGGACATCACAGAATTTTGGTCGTCTGGAAGAATGGACAAATTCAGTACAGCATTGGAGGTAAAGTTTGTTTCTAATTATGATATGTGATGTGTTTTATAATCAAGTTCAAGGAAATGTATTAAAATTGAAATATGTAAATAAGAACTAATTATATAAGGGCATTGTACATTGACCTTTAACTTCATCATGAAATGATATTAATATACGGTGTTTCAATTAATCTTTTCTAACTCCCTCAAAAAACAAAAATACCCACAAAGCCCCATTCAAATCAAAAGGAGGAAATCTTTTAAGTTATAATTTTTAAGCATATTTGTGTCGTTTTTTTCAAAAATCTGCCACAATTATTGTATCTTAGGAAAGTATTACAGTAAGTCCTCACTTGACATCATCATAGGTTCTGTGACTTCAAGTGAAATGACGTATATAACAAAACAAAATTTTACTGTGGGCTAGCTAGTTCACATAAAGTTCCGGTGGCATGTCATGAACGTATAACAAAACACCACTGAATGAAATAGTTATTTGAGAACCTATTCTATATACATTTTGGATTTGGGGCATTTTAAATGGAAGTATTGTATTTCACTTTCTATCAAGTTATAGCCATATCTTTTTAAAGACCAGAACAATACCCTAGGAACTTGAGACTTAGATTATAAAATAAATAACCTAGGATTTGTACATAATTTTACTTTTCTTTCCTTCCATAAGAACTTAAGCATACTTCGGGATCGTTTCCTTTTGGGTATAGCAAAATATAAGTATCATTCAAAAATAGATCACTTTGTTCCATATATCCCTGGTCTTAGATCTTAAAAGGGCTCTTATTTCCATCTACCTAATTAATAAAATCTTATTTTTAAATAATTAGTGTATCAGTCAGAGAGAAAAATAATTCATCTCTTTGCAATCCTGCTGTAGTAATGCATGCAGCGTTAGTACATAAAGTAGAGATACCTCCATTCATAATGCAAATAAACTAATCATATTCCTAAGCCCTGGTGCTATTCTTAGTGTGCCAAGATATTATTATTCCCTTAGCTCTTGAATTTTTTGTTTCTTGTTTGCTGTTTTTGTTAGTGGTTTTTTTGTTTTTTAAAGATTTTATTGGGGAATTGGGGGAGGGGAACAGCACTGGGGAATCGGGGAAAGGGGAACAGATAAGTTCCTGTTGTTTTGTTCTTGAGTCTAGTTGTGGAGGACGTTGCTTCACTGGCCCAAGTTGGCACCATCATTGCACTCTTCCCAGGTGAGACAGATCAGTCGCCGGCCTCTGGACGGCCGCTCACGCTGGCTGCTGGCTACACACAGTAGCTTATGGCAGCCGACTGCAGCAGGGAGCTGCAGCCTACACCGTCGCCTGCGACCCATGGCAGCCCAGCCCCAGGTTGAGCTGTTGTTCACCATCTTAGCTGCAGAGGGCAGTGTCACTGGCCCTCATATGTGGGATCCAAACCGGGGCCCTCTGGCATCCCAAGCCAGTTCTTAACCAACCCGCCACTCGGCCGGCCCCT